TCTCTTCCAATAGCCATGACTTCACTAACACTGATTAGTTAGCGAGGTTTCCAGTACCACACATAGTATCCCTCTTGTTCTGAGGGCCTGAAGTCCAACTAGAGAGACATTAGTTACTGCACCTATAGGGTTAAACATAATTTTTATGAAAAAGAAAGTATTTGCCTTTTCAGCACAAAATGTTTATCTAGTTACAGGTGCAGAGTGTCAATGTCACATATCACATAGTTTTTAGGACATAGTTTGAATGGTTGCAGACAAAAAAAATGGTTTTCACCACTCTGGGCACACCTATTGGTGAATAACTTGCCTACTCAGAATACAAAGAAGGAAGAGAAAAGGGAAGTCTTCCTCTACCAGGAAAAGGTACTTAGTTATATAAAGATGGTTTGTTTCCAGCTAGCTGAGAAGGGATTTGGTACATGCGTCTTTCTCTCCTCTTACTAAGTGCTTCGCCCACTTGGCTCTTCTCCAGACTCCTAGTCAGCTGGGATCACCCACACTCTCAGAAGAGTCACCCACACACTTTCATTATGTTTTCACCCAGTCACCTTTGGGTTTGCAGATGCAAATGCTGGAAAGGTAATAGATGGCTGCTTTTCTCTAGGTCCTAGGAATATTTGTTAGACGTGGGTTCTAGGGCAAAGATTCCTGTTGCTGGGGCTTGTGACCAGGACAGTATATAAATGACATTCATAGTCAAATTAATTTTGGAAATGCTAAATTAAAGCACAGATAAGACATCTTTGGGAATCCTCAGAGCCTTTAATATGCTTACAGAAGCTAATCAAAGATGAAAAAATCTAAGAAAAGGGAGTCTTCAAGAGAAACGGTGTGGCACTCATTCAAACAAATTCACTCACAGTATCCTTTACTGTTGAAAAAGTTCAAAAACTTGCATTCCAGGGAGCAGAGTTGGGAAAAACATGTAGTTTAGGGCACAGGGTTTCCTACCCACAGCAGTCTGGGAAGAAGGAAGGCACTGTCTGGGCCATGTAGTCTGTCTTTCCACTACTTACCTATCAAAGACAAGTCAGGAACCCCAAGAAAAGAATCACTCCTAGCATTTGGGAGAGACCATACAGAGAGGCTGCTGGCTTTTCTGTCTTGCAGAGGTCAGAAGACAATTTGCAGGAGTCATTTCTCTCCTTCTACCATGTGAGTTTCAGGTCATCAGTCTTGGCAGCGAGCTCCCATACTTGCTAATCCATCTTGCTGGCCCCAACCAAAGTTTTAAATTTTGAAACTGACCAGTCTTTCCCATTATACATTTAAAATTTCCATTCTTAATTTATTTTTTGCCACTCCATAAATATGAAAATGTTCATCCATGCTCTGCTGTAGTCCTTTGATGGTTTAATTTTTAAAAATATTTTTAACTTTATTTATTTTGTATACACTGTTCTGTCTGCATATATGCCTGAAGACCAGAAGAGGGTGCCAGATCTCATTACAGATGGTTGTGAGCCATCATGTAGTAGCTAGGAATTGAACTCAGGACCTCTGGAAGAGCAGCCAGGGCCCTCAACCTCTGAGCCATCAATCCAGCCCCACTGTACAATCTTAGTGCCCAGGCTGAGGCCACTGCTGGAGCTCAGTGGGTACCAAACTTAGCAAATGGGGTTCTAGTGTTCAGTGTGTAGTAGGGTCAGGTGGGTCTCTTGGCCTTAGCAGGTGAACCCATGAGTTCAGACAACAGGCTTCTGCTTTCCCAGTGCCAAATTTTATTCTTTTAGGATTGTCTTGATGGAGTGAGAGAAAACAGCCTAGCCTACCAATAGTTTGGGAGGGACTGAAGCCTTTTGTCAGCAAACAGCAGCACCAGCTTGACACTTGGTACTTGGAAATGTCCCCTTGCTATAGCAGTGTCCAATAGACTAATTCTACTGATAAAGCCAAGTAACCCACAGTCAGCCTGTTGGACAGTCTTGGTGATCCAATTGGTTCTTCCTTCTAGTCTACCATTTCTTTATCCTATGTCAGATTCTGTCTACTCTTGGGTTTACCTGTGTGCTTGACTCTTTCACTATTTGTTCCTGTACAGATGTTGCCCTTCTGTTTCTGGACATCCTAGATGTTTTCACGTGTTTCATTGTTCTACAGTAAATTTGGAATCACTTCTCAACCTCATATAAAAATGTAAGTCAATACCTGAATATTTCATGGTATTTTTATTTTACCCAATTTTTGAAATACTGTGTCCCTATCAATGGTAAACTGGATCTCTATCAGACTATATTTATTTTATGTATTTTTAAATGGTAAAAAAAATAAGCTTTTGAGAGCTTCTTCATGTAAGTCCCATGTAGTTTTCACTGGGTTGGGTTTAGAACAACTGAGGCTTAATAGATAGTCAATAAACTATATGATTTAAGGCATGTAATTTACTGCATTTTGACAGATTATATAATCGTAGAAGTATCAATACAACTGAGAGGACATACAGACATATCCAAAATCTCCAAATTTCCTCACATTTCTGTATAATAATCATCTCCTTGACAACCATGGATCTGCTTTCTGTCACAATCAATCAGTGCACACTTTCTAATGGTTCATTTCATACAAATGGAACCATACAAAATGTACCACTTTGGTCTGGTTTCTTTTTAAGATTCATATTACACAGGTAATTTTTTATTGCTCAATAGCATTCCATTATATAAATACACAACAACTTGTTTATCCATTCATCTGCTAAAGGGAATTAGGGTGGCATATACATCAATTTTTCATTACCATAATGAAATACCCAAGGCAGGTTTACTTTATAAAGTAAAATGGGTTTATTTAGCTTGTAGTTTATTTAGCAAGATCATGGTGCTGACATTGGCTCAGTTTTGATAATGGCCTTCTTGTTGGCAGAGCCCTGAAGCAGGACATGGCATAGACAAAGTACATATCCATGGCTGCATCTGGTCTCTGTACCTCTTTTGCTCACCCTCCCTCCCTCCCTCCTTCCCTCCCTTCCTCTCTTCCTCCCTCTTTTCTTCTTTCCTTCCTAGATGGGGGTTTCATCTTGTTGCCAGACTAGCCTCAAATTCACTCTTTGTCTAGGATAGCCTTGAACTTGCTGTGATCCTTCTATCTCTGCCTCTTGGGCGCTGAGGTTACTAGCAGAAGCCAAATCCTCGTCTCAATACCATCAAGCTTCAGTCTTTGGGCTCCATCCTAATGTCTTTATTCAAGCCTGATCACTTTCCACACTCCCCAGTACTAAACTCCACAGTTGGATTTAATTTCTATACTCTTAATACTATTAACATGCCATCTGGGGATTCCTGTACAAGTTCAAGGAGATAGGCCTGGGTCAAGCCCCAGCAGGCGAGAACCAGTGGTTAGCTATCCTAGACAAAACTGCATGTATATCTGCACTTAGATAATATGTGCAGGAACTTTCTTCTCTCCTCAACAAGTGCCTTGGAGTGAAATCTGTTCCTTCACATCATCAGATGTCAGCTTCAGCCAGGTATGGACACTGATGGATAGGGCAGCATCGACTGGGACAGGTCCTTCCAGGGAGTGTGCCTGCAACCTATGACAGTGAAGGTCTGGCAACAAAGAATGAGGGACCTTAAGCCTTCCTGAACAACTATTATCATAAGGGGAGAGGTAACAGATATTGGTGAGAATATGGAAAAGAAAACATTTGTACATTGTACATTCCATTCATTCAGGCATGGAAAAGTTTGGAGGTTCATAAACACTAAAAATAAAATTGCCATATAACCCAGCAATCCCACTTGAGAGTATTTTCCCAAAAGGTTAAAGTCAGTGTCAAAAGGATATTGACACCTCATGTTGGTGGCAGCATTATTCACAATAGCCAAGTTATGGTATCAACCTGTATCTACCACAGACAAGTAACTAAAGAGAATGTGTAATATACACACAGTGGAATACTACTCAGCCTTACAAAGGAAAGAAATCCTGCAGTTCATGAAGGCAGAGATGGAATTAGAAAATACTCTGCTTAGTGAATTAAGTCAGGTATACAAAGACAGAAACTGCATGGTCTGTGTATTTCACAGTTGCCGAAGAAAATTTCAAATGCTGCTACTACAAATAAGTAATCATTATCTGAAGTTATGAAAATGTTAACAGCTTGATCACCCTGTCACCCCCACCCCAGGCCTCTCCTGGGCCTCACTGAGTAACCTAGGTTGGCCTTCAATGTGTAATCCTTCTGTCTCAGTCTCTGGAATGCTATAATTACAGACATGTGCTATTTGTCTTCATATGAAGTTGCTTTCTACTGTGTGTATGTGTGTAGAATATATACAAATATATACATAGTTCACTAATAACAATATGAAAAGAATTGAGGGCTGGAGCGATAGCTCAGTGTTAAGAGCATTTGCTGTTATTGGAGAGGACTGAGGTTTGGCTGGCAGCACCCTAGTTGGGTGGCTAACAGGTACCTGTAACTCAAGTTCCAGGGGGAATCCAAAGCCTCTTCTGGCCTCCGCAGGTATCTTCAGGTCCCTACACACACATAGCACACACCCACACAGACTCACATAAATACATTAATTTTTGGAAAAGAAATGATGAGTTTTTGAGAAAGATTTGCTTTATTTTTCATGTGTATGAAAATGCTTTGCCTACATGTGAACCTTGTATGTGTCTGGTATCTGTAGAGGTCAGAAGAGGGTGCTGGATCCCCCTGGAACTGGAGTTACAGACAGATATGAGCTGCTGTCTGGGAACCAAACTTGGGTACCCAGGAAGACCATCCAGTGCTCTTAACCACTGAGCCATCTCTCCAGGCCCTGAAAAGAAATTATTGTATGTTTTTAAATAGTTGAGAATGGCTGTTTCTGGAGACTAGGAGTGGAGTGGGGCAGACAATGGGAATCAAAAATTCTAGTGACCATAAAAGCAACCCTGGCATTCAAAACCAATAAATGGATATTTTGTAAAAATTAAAACAACAAACAAAACCCCAGGATGGATAATAGCATAGAAAGAGAAACAAAATATCCCAGCATCCCCTTCACCAGCTCCAAAGCCAGGGTGGGAGGGTCACCTTTCTTAAGGAGTCGAGGCAAAAGAGTCACTGCAGACGCACTAAGATCAGCAATGGACAGTTTTGCAGCCTTGAAGGCGTACAGCCTGAATAGATGGGTACGACCTGAAATTTGCATGATAGCCTGTTTCTGAAATGGAATTGACTTCATTTCCCACTGGGCTCTCACCTAAGGGTCCTGCAGTTCAGAGGAGCTCTCTTGAGAGGAACCCTAATTGGATGAATTTAGGCTACTTTAGGATTCCTGCATACCCCTATCCTGGGGACCCCAGACACTCTACTACATGGGCTTTACAGGTGGCAGCCTCAGGAACCAGACCTGGCTTGTGGCTCAGTGCTGACACAGACGTTCAGAGTACTACTGTAGGGAGGGGTCAGTATGGCACAGAAGAGATGGAGGTTGCCATCTAGAGGAATCAGGTGAGTTGCCCACTGGTTGAATCTGGGGGTAGTTTCCTGTGAATGCCAGGACAAGGACAGTGGCCTCGGCAGTTGCCCAAACCCTCTCTACATGTCAAATATAGGTGTTTATATCACTTACAAGATGAGAAGGAATTATTAGTTTCTATTACTCCCAACCCTCAATGGAGTGCTGGTGCTATATCCAATGTGATGGCTATTCTTGGCCACCAACTTGACTACATCTGGAATTAACTGAAGCCCAAGTGGTTGGGTACACTCATGAGGGATATTCTTCTTTTTTTAATTTTTTATCTTATTTTATTAGTTCAAATTAGGAACAAGCTTGCTTCAGATGTCAATCCCTTCTCCCTCTTACCCCCCAACATCCCACCTGCCCCTAGCCATCTCCCCTCCACTCCCCAGGCAGGGTAAGGCCCTCAAAAGGGGCTCCCCAAAGTCTACCACATCAGAGGGATATTCTTCTTAATTAAATCATTTGAAGTGGGGAGAGCCACCTTTAACCTGTTCTCTCTGCCTGTTCTCTCACTAGCAAGCCCATTCCTTGCTGGCATTAGAGCCTCCTGCATTCCAGCATATACTGAAGACCAGCTGAGACACCCAGCTTCATGGGCTGAACAACTACTGGATTCTTGATCCTTTGGTTTGTAAACAGCCAGCCATCATTGGACTAGCTAGACCACACAGCCTGTAAGCGATTCTAATAAATCCCTTCTCTATATAGCTATAGATTCATTCTGTCAGTTCTGTTTCTCTAGAGATCCCTGAGTAATACATCCAGCCATGATGCTGGAGCCTTGCTCCAAACGAACAGCCTAAGAAGGTCCAGGAACTCTGGTGCTGGCAGCAGCTACCCTCAGTCTCTTCAGAGAGATCATCAGCTGAGAGGAATTTTGCCTGGAGCCAGCTGCAGCCTATTCACTTTTGACCCTGGAGGATGCTAGGAGGAAAGAAACGGGGAGAGAAGGTTCTGGCCAATACTCTGTTTTCAAGCATAAGCACCAGGGAGGCCTGAGGTCGATTGTGGGTAGCAGCAGGGAGCAGTAACCTCATTTTTTACTGTCTATGAATCTATGCGGGTTCCCTCATGTCTTGTCTCATCAGGCACTACTGACAAGACTGAGTAATGATGCCCCACAAGGATGCTGTCAGTCCTGCCCCTCTGTGTGAAGCACCTGGACCCACCACCAGTGTGTAATTAGAAGGCAAGAGCTCCCTGGGCATCTTACCATTACTGGATAAATCAATCCTTGTGACCCATTCACATAACAGAGCCAACGCCAATTATGCCTAAGGAAATTTCCATCACTCCTACTGAGTAGACAGATGAGGTGACCCCCCTTCCTTCTCCACCCCTTCTGAAGAGCTAGGGTATCTCCATTATGAAGACCCATTGTAGGACAACTCTCCTTCAAGGACAACACCCATCACCACCATCATCAGGGCAGCTGTGACCACTCACAGATGACTCTCAAGATTTCCCTGCCATCCCTGCTTAAAGGAGGTGGGGGAGGGTCATTAAACACTCACCTAGCATCCCAGCCATCCTGTCTTCAAGCCCCTGCTACCTAGATGTAACTCTGCCCCAGCTGCATGTGGTTTCAAAGGAACTACACTGTATAGAATGTGGAAGGTTGACTGTGGGGGTATGGGGAGTTACCATTTCTGCAGCTATGGGGAAGTTATCCTTGCTGGGTAAAACTTTCTACTGATATGGGTATTTGGGGGTCACTTATAAATAAGCCTAATAAGCTCACTGGTTCATCCAACTAGACTTGGATGGAATTGTTACTTTGGTTTGTAGCTGGTGCCCTATTCAGGGTGAGTGGATGGTCACATTTCCCCAGGAAAAGTTCACATGATACTGATGGACAGTAGGATTTTCCAACTCTGATAGTATGCACTGTGTCCAAACTCACTAATCACAGCCAAAGAAGCTTCATGGAGATTACACTGAGGTATACAGCTGGAAATAATCTTGGCCTTGTATAGCAAATTGATAACCCAAGATGAAGTTCTAGGAGGGAGTCAATTTAAAAACTGAATTTGTTCCTTGACATTGTCAAACATGTATTTGGCGAATTCTGCTTACACTTTCTCAACAGCTTCTCCTATTCTCTCCCCACCCTGTCATTCCATTCCCTCTGCTCCACAGGTCCCCTTCTCACAGTTGTGCCTTCTTGTTTTGTGACACATTGGTTTCTAAATAGGCACCTCTATTTGGCCATGGGTTTGGAACTACCCTTTGGAGCTGAATGGGCCACTGCTGGGTACACAGTTCACTGGAGGCAATGAATATTTCCCCCCATACTCTAGAACCCATCCGTTACCTATCGTTTGCCAATGAAGTCTAGGGCCCCAGTCTTGTGCTGACCCAGTATAAGCAACCATAGCTGCTATGAGACTGTGTCTGCAATGGCTGTGCATGTCCTGAAAATAGCATTTTGAAGCTCTTCTCCTTAGTCAGGCTCTTACACTCTTTCTGCTCCCTCTTCTGCAGTGTTCCCTGAACAGTGAGGGGTTTGCATAAATATCCTGCTTAGGGCCCAGCACTCAACCATCATGTATTCTGAGCATGGTGAGCAGCTGTGAGTTTCTGCATTCAGTGCAAAGACAAGCTTCCCTGATTAAGAATGTGAGTGGTGTTTGTCTGCGAGTGTAAACATTGGTATTTGGACCGAAGTTTTTTGCCATGTCAATTTAGCTAAACAACAATAATGAGTTCCCAACTAGGGCCTATGACCTCCCCAGCCATGGGCTTTGGACTGGGTTTACAGTCCTAGCTTTGCTGTTTCTTGAGATGCTTGCCTGGCATGGGGGTGGGGAGCTCATGTGAAGTGCCCTGCAAATTATTTGGTGCTTTCCCAAAACCAAAGGAATAATTTGATAGTTTATAATTAATCACTAAACAGTGGTGTTAGTTCTGAGCTGGGGACCTCTCAAGCATATGAAAAGTGGATTTCCCCCAGCAGTTACTGATGATCCAAAGGATTCCTCTAGACCTAGTGAGAACTTAAAATCTTATCTGGTTTACAATCCTCAGATTTTACCATTAAGGAAGGAAATAAGTAGTATCTCCAGTGGAACATTGAACAACATATTGAGCACATGTATATGTATGTGGCATACAAATCCACATATGAAGGCACAAGTTACCATTTACAGAGTGTAAACCCAGCTTGACAGTGTCTAGAATTCAGCTGGCCACTATGTCGGTCCTCTTACTTCTTCTGGTGCTGGAATTGAACTCAGTACTTCATGCATGCTAGGCAAGTATTCTGTCATTGAGCAGTATCCAGGCAAGGGCTTGTGGGTGTGTGAGCACCTGTGCCACATCCACACGGAGGTCAGAGGACAACTCTAGGAAGTTGTTCTCTCCTGCCACCTTGTGGGAACCGAGAATTTAACACCCCACCACCCCTACCCTCACCCATCCCGGTTTACTTAGGTAGTCTCTTGCTGAAACTACAGCTCCGTGATCAGGCTAGGCTATCTATTTAGCTTGCCCCAAGGAGTCACCTGTCTCCAACTCTATAGTACTAGCATTACAAGCATGCCCTCACACCTACCCAGCATTGACAGAGGTACTGGGATTTGAACTTGTTTTCATGCTTGTATGGCAAGCACTTTATCCTATCACACTATTCCTGGCGTTTTGTATTTTAAATGTGAATATCCAATGAGCCTCCTGCGAATTCCTGAGGATTTACATTTTACACGTGACACTTTAGAAATGTTTTCCGAGTTGTGCCAGCCTCCCCCAATGGTATAATCACAAGTCTTACTGACCAGCTCCTGTGAGGTTGCATTTGATTGAACCACAGTTTCTTCCCAGAAGATACAGAGCAAACCTGGGTCTACGACAAGTTAGTGAGCTTGTTAGGAAACAGATTTGGGGGGTGGGAAGCCAGTGTCATCATACACACTGAGCAACTGGATGCAGCTCACTGGAAAACAAGGTCACCCTTGCCCTCCCTGCTCTCTATAGCACAGCTTGAAAAGCAGGAAAGAGGGAAGTGTAGGGCAGGGATCAGAGAACAAGGAACTTTAGATATTATGTTCTAAATGGTTTTGGAGAGAAGTCTCTCTCTCTTTTTTTGTACCAATACACAAAATAGTAAATGATCTGTGGCTTTTATGATGATGGAAAAGTGTACCCATACAATGAGACAGTCAACACTTTATAATGGAAAGGCATGCCAGATGATTATGGCCTGCTAGGCTAACACAGCTGTTCTGAGCATGGCTAAGGTGGGACAGGCCACCTGTGCTGTTCAGTAGCTTAGCAGATTTAGAAGATGACCTCATCATAAGTTGAAAAGCATCTATGAATAAAACCATCCTGCTAGGCTAACACAGCTGTTCTGAGCATGGTTAAGGTGGGACAGGCCGCCTGTGCTGTTCAGTAGCTTAGCAGGTTTAGAAGATGACCTCATCATAAGTTGAAAAGCATCTATGAATAAAACCAGGTAGGAGGGAGATGGGAAGGTACGAGGTAGAGTTAGATAGGAGTTAAGAGTAACCACTGCCCAGAATAATCTCTGATACATAACAAAATAACTACAAGTTCAGAGGTCACTAGCACAAGAATAATTGATGTCCGAGGAGGGAACATGCTTGGTTAGGTCATTGCATGCCATAACTTGCATTGCAATAGTAAACATTAGACCACACATGTGTGCAATTAATTATATATTC